GATGACTCATAAGCTCCATTTACTTTACAGAGAGAGCACAGAAAGTAAAGGAAGAGAAGAAAGGAAAAAAAGATAGTTAAAAACTACTATAGATTACATTTTCACAGCATATTTATTTCTATTCCTTTAATGTAGACCTAACAGTGAAGAGAAAACAAAACAATATGACAACATATGGAGTCTCTCACACATTTTGCATTTTAACAGAGCAAAAGGCTCTAGCAAAACATCTGATTTTAATAAGGTGTTCCCTCCACCCCTTATGTTAGGCCTCTATTTAAGCATTCCTTTTCCTATGGAGGAAGAAGTGATGTATTCAGACTCATCAAAACCAGCATTTCACTGAAATCCCCAAATCTCTCTGCAACTTCTTTACACCTGCTATCCACAGACAATAAAATCATTTTAGTTTATATTTCTAATACGTTCTCAAGCTAAAGAACTTTGAGAAATAGTATTCTAAATGCTTTTCCCTTTACCCCTAGATGTGTCAGATAATTATCTCACACACACACGCACATGCGCATACACACTGAATTACTGTGATTATTATTATTACTCAGTTATTCCCAACATTACATGAAATAGAGAAATTTTTTTTTTTCAAATTAATGAAGTTAATTAAATGGTCAAATGGATAGTGAAGGTGAAAGAAATACATCTTTGTTGGACTTCATTTAAGGAAAAATAGACAAAATTATCTGTGTAGCAAGCTGAAGGAAGGAACTTCATCTTCTTAACACATCGTCGTAAGGAGGTCATTGAGAATGTGACAGATTCGCATTTTGATAAATTATCTTGCTTCTTTGATACGGATTCAACAAGAAAGAATGAAAAGGATCACCCTGTCCACCAAAGGAGTAAACCATGATTGGAATTCCCTGAGATTGTAATTTCCTTATCCCCATGGGTTTTGGAAGGAAAATAGAAGTTTCCTATTAGGTCAGGCCCCAGTAAGACAATTTTTTTGGTTTTAAAGGTCCAGACACATCGGGAGCAACGTGTTTCAACCTTTAGGTCAAAAGCATCAGAGAATTATGGAGTCGATTTGCTATGTTCTGACCAATGTTTACAAAAATAAAATAGAAAGGAATGGAACAAAATGGAACCACATGGAAATTATCAGAGTATGTCACGTATTATGAGGTAAGTATTATTTTGTGAAACCTTGACTTATAGTGTTGTATGTGTGCATGTATGTGTGTGTGTGTAAGTGTATGTATCCCATCTGAATGTCCTGCTTAAAAAGTTTGGAAAAGACTGAAGATGACTACTAAAGCAGATATACCCAAGAAACGTGGAAAATATTGCATCTCCCTAATTATAAAATCTAGAGAATGCAATTGTATTATAAGGAGTCGTGTATACATATGCTTGTGTTATTGCTTATATATATAAAAAAATTGAAAACAACTCAATTATCTATCAATAGAGGAATGGATTAACTAGGTATCTAAACATGAATATATACTAAAAACAAAATGTTGACCCCCTCAAAAAAGCAGTGGCAAAGGACAAGTATGATACCACTTAAAAAAAAAAATTCTTTGTGCTCGCTTCAGCAGCACATACACTAAAATTGGAATGATACAGAGAAGATTAGCATGGTCCCTGCACAAGGATGACACGCAAATTCGTAAAGCGTTCCATATAAAAAAAAAATTCTTTAACATCAAAACAGTATATATATTAGAAATGTTTAGGGGCCAGCTGAGTGGCTCAGTTGGTTAAGAGCTCGCTTGATAGTGTGAGCTCTAAGCAACAGGGTTGCCGGTTCAATTCCCGAGCTGGGCTGCCAACAGGTGGCAGGATGGCTCAGTTAAAAAAAAGAAAAGAAATGTTTACATATGAAATAATATTATAACAGCATGATTGAGAAGGGCACTCGGGATAAAGGTTAGCCCTGAGGAGAAACAAAGATGAATGGCATAGTGCATTCATTTTTCAGCATACCTACATCTTTTTCTTTTTAAAAAGGCATTCGGAAAAAAGTAATATTTTTTAAACTTAAGTGTTAGATGCAAAGGTGTTTATTGTGCCCTTCTTTATTACTTTCTATGTTTTCTAAAATTTCAATATTGTGTGTGATAAAGGAATAAGATTTTGTGTCTGACTTTTTCAATCAATATCATATTTATGAGATTCATCCATATTATCATGTACATTATTATTGTGTATATTCTTGTCTTTTCATTATGCACATTGCTCTGTGGTATTCCATTGTGTAACTATATCACAACTTTTTAATGTCTCTAATTTCTGGGTATTACAAACTATGCTGCTATAAGCATTCTTATACATATCTCCTGGTACTTTGGCTAGTTTCATGGGGTATACATACATTCAACTTGAGTCAATACCACCACATAGCTTTCAAAAATTGTACCAAGTTACACTCCTAAACAGCAATAAATGAGAAATCCAGTTTTTCCTTATCCTTCTCAATATTTGGTGTTGTCTTTTTCATTTTAGCAATTCCAGTGTTGTGAAGTAGAATTTCCATGGAGTTTTAATTTGTCTTTCTCCAGTGACTAATGAAGTTAAGCACCTTTTTTACATATGTATTGGCCATTGGATTTTTTTTTTCTTGGACTGCCAGTTCAAGTTATTGGCCTATTTTTCTAATGGATCACCTGCCTTTTTTTCTTTCTTTTTTTTTTTGGAGTTATTTTCTCTGTTCAGTCTTTACAAACATGCAAAACTTATCATTTTTTTTTAATAT